GATGCTCCCCTCGGCTCCCAGGACTCCCTGTAAAACCGTGCAGTGATGGGAGAGCACGGGATGTCAACCGCAAACCTTTGTGCCCTAGATTCGGGCTTTGTGGTATTTTTCTTCTCCAAAATAAGCCAATTTTAGCTATTTTAAAAATAGACTATTCGGCTAAAACTGATGTTCTGTTGTAAGCTCTAACTCTCACCCAATAAAGCAGTTGGAAAGTACACGTGGGAAACCTGTGCCTTTTAGGGGCAAGCAGTATCCCATATCCTTTAGAGAGAACCTGAGCGCACAAAAGAAGAACGCAGACATTAAAACCACAGACATAAATACAACCAGTTTCTTTACATCTCTCCGACTGTCCTTTGCATCAGCATATTAATGTGGTGCAATACCCAAACGAATCTTACGGTCAAACGACATCCCTACGGTCTCATCATCACAGGCCAGAACTGCTTTTCCAGCTTGCTCGGAGTGAAACAAAATCCCAGCCGCTAATGAGATCTTCAAAAGCCGTTTGCACTTGAGGAGTAATCTTCTTGGTAGCAGATAACAATGCTCACACTGGCAAAAGTCATTCACACAAAAAGCTAAGTTCAAGGCAAGATTAACAGCAACTGAAACTGTTTAAGAGAAGGCACAGCTCTTTAATCACGAGAGCACAAGAAGGAGATTTAATGAATAAAAATTAAAAAGGAAAGGTTAATGCTTTTTTCTATATTAAAATACTATTAAGACTAACAGCACTTAATACTTTAAAATACTATTTTCCTGACATACTAGAAAAGCTGACAGTATCAGGCTACAACCTAAATACGTAAACGCTGTAAATCCACCTGGACACGTATTTTTGAGCTTACTAAAAAGTAGCCAAGACAGTACCCAAACGTCGGATGCCCGGGGAACACCACTGGAGTAACACATTTGTGGCTGTTACTCCTGCAGTTATCCTCTTCGGCCAGGACACACGTAGCAGCACCTGAATCAGCACGCGCCAGCTACGCTGCACGTGTCGCGGGGATGTGGCGGGCGTTAGCGTTGCACGTCACGTCACTGCTTCCCATCAATTCCTGCTTCAGTACCAGGTGACACGCAAAGACACAAAACTGCAACCTTTCAACTCCATTCAGTGGGAAAGCTTACAACAGTCCTGCACCTGGGGAGGAACAACCTCATGCACCAGTACAGGCTTGGGGTGGACCTGCTGGAGAGCAGCTCTGCGGAGAGGGACCTGGGTGTCCTGGTGGACGACAGGTTAACCGTGAGCCACCAGTGTGCCCTGGCTGCCAAGAA